ACATCTAACTAAACTACACAAAAGAAATCGTATCTACTTAATATTAAAATGTTTGATTGGTAATTCTCTATTTTCATGGTATCTTATTAATTAGTACAAAATTATATTAGAAAACGTTTATAGAAGAATATATGATGTATAACTTAGTGTTATATATTTATATTTTCTAACATGATATAAAATTTAAAAAAAAAACCACAAAACATAACATGATAAGATAGCATAATCCGTCAATTTGTATAATTTGTTGTTAATTTACAACAACTTGTTTACAAGATAAAATAGCTATTTCTAACAACGTTAGAACCACGTAACCACGAAATCCGTCTAGCTTAACAACAAAACATGTAGTTGTAATGTTTAAAAGATAATCGCTCTGTTATCTAGGTAGTCAAAATGTAAAAGACCACTTACGCAACCACTTTAACTAATACTTAGAACATTTTGTTAAACAATTACAAGTAATGGAAATGGTAGTTACAACTTACAAGTAAACTATGTAAAGAACATTTTTTTTTAACTAAAAACAAATTACAAATTATAGATTAGATGCTGAATGGAAATGGTAGTTACAAGTAAACTATGAAAAAACAAATATTTTTAAAAAACCAATATATTGATCTTACTAAATAGCATGTACATGCCGTTGATATATTTCCTTATATGTGACACTTAACTTATCTTAATCCAGGGAAACAAACAAAAAAAACTCAACTTATCTTAATAATATTTTTTTTTTTTGAATAATCTTAGTGCATCATAATACGTGTTAGATGTACATTGGCAAGTCGCATCGATTGTATACGTGTGCGTGTTACGGGAACATTGGCTACATCACAATCGAGAAGACTTGGTTTTGAAGCGGAGAACGACATGTGCCGAACTACGTACAACGGGAAAAAACAAATTACAATAATAATGAAATATACCAAAATTATCTAAACAAAATTATTTGGATAACAAGTGGTCAAGACTAACGCAGTAACTGGTAACAATAGAATTAAAAAAATTTGTATAATTTGTATAATTTATAGAATTGTGTTACTGGTTGAAAGTTGGTAGAATTGATAGAATAGAAAGTTGTATAATTTATATAATTTATAGAATGTTGAAGAATTGTAGAATTGGTAGAAAGTTGTGAAGGCAAAAAAAGTTGCATGACCGACAGAAATCAATGATTTTGTGAAAAAAAAAAGTTGCAGAATAAAGCAGTATTGGTTGGACAAGTGGGCTCGTTGCAGAATAAAGCAGTTTTCATAATTGAAAACAATCACGGGTGAATTTAACATTTGCCTATAAAAAATCACACTGAGCGAAACAAAACATTCGTACTTAGGCGAAGGAAAAAAAATTGTGAGGGTGGAAAAATAATCATCTTTTGGTACTTGAGAGGCTGGAAAAATTGAGAGGGTGAAAAAATAATTCAAAGCGAGATAATCATAATCGAGTAAGTTTACA